CAAGACAACTACAGATATATATGAAAGAATACAATACGCTTATATTTCTGGGGTGAATGCACTGTATTTTTTACAACTTCTATGATAATACTGCATGCCTCCACTTCCATGACTTTCTTGTACACTCTTATACAATGGAAAATAATGGATTAATGTTCCCTGAATTAGACCTGGGAGTGAAGTGGGTCTCTCCCACTTCAGCTACTAGAGGAAGGACCATCAAGAATACAATGGACTTATTTTTATATGAAGAAACACTTGAGCACTACTAAATTAAGGCCTCAGTACTTAGAGACTCTCAGCTGTCTCCCTTAGATGTCTTTGACACCCAAGAGAAACATCAAACATCACACATCCTCCAGTATGAGAGAGAGATGGGTTTGAAAAATAGAATCTTAGAGGCACAAGAAGTGGGGAGAAAACAGCAGGAGAAAGAAAGTCTTCTGAGAAGAGAGCCTGGCTGACTGGAACTGTGTCTGATATTTGGTCTAGGCATTCTGACACAAGGTTATTCTGGTTAATCAATAAATGCTATCTTGCTTAAGAAGAGCTGCATATAACTCTTCACTCCTTTGCCTTGAAGAGGTATAGTTCCTCCCCAGAAGCTGAGCCAGAAAGTAGCTTGGTGAGAGGGCGACATGTAGCGGGTAGAGGGGGGATGATACACCAGAAATCCTGGTGTCAGATTCCAAAGAACCAGGGGCTCACCCACTCTACAGCCTATGCCTGAGTTCTTAGAGAAACCATACTAATGGTGTGGGTCTCTTGAGAAACCATGACTAAACCTATACTGCAAACTGTGGGATGTGTCTTGGGATCACAATTCAACTGCAGGGAAATCAATCCTGGCTACAGAGGCCTCCAAGGGAATATCAGACTGTGAACAGAAGAAACAATCAGCTGCTTTGAACAAGAAAAGGATTATCAGACATCTACTAGTCCCTGAAGAACCATAAACCCTTGACTTGTCAACTAGAAGTTGTATTAGGAATCAGTCTTATTGCTGTAACCAATGCTGATAACTAAGGGATAAGAATGTAAGGAGGGGTGTATTCCATTCCATACACTAGTCGCTCCTTCATTTGCTCTTTGCTGTCCGATGGACAGCAACTTGTTCTTTAGTGAATTCTTGCAGGAGGAATCCCTGAAAAAAGTATGGTAATGTAGATAATTTAGTATTATAAAATGGAATAGAAAAAAGAGCCTCTCCAAGTAATTTCTATTACTCACTTGTCAGAAGCAATTTCACTTTATACCACCAGAAAAGTAAGATCCTAAATCATACTCCTTACTGAAAAGAAACAAAACAAGACAGGATTTGACAAGCTCCAACTTACTGCTACAGACCAGGAATTACAAATGTGTGGAGGGGCTATATTTCTTTATATACCCTCCCCTGGAACAGCCTCAGTACACATGAATGTATGGATTTGATGCAAAGTCCATACATTCTTCAAGAGCCAAAGATGAACAAGTGTATTTCAAGAATATGTTAATGTGAATAAGATGAGTTTGTTAAATGGATGATGGTTTTGTCTATTTCGTTATTTCGTTTTTATTATTGCATAGATTAGCAGTCACTTGAATTACAAGGGCTGTTAATCTGTGGTTAATACAATGGAGTATAAATTATATTCAAATTCCAGACATTAGTAACCGCACATTAAGGCTCTGATTTTGCAAAGGAATCCATTATTCCACACAGAGTTCCATCAAAGCACAGAGTTGTAACATATATCAACATGAACTGGGAAATTCAAAACATGGGCCTTATGTCTTATGTGTGCTTTTTAAATTTTCCCCTATAACTAAGTGTGGCTACATATGGTCTGGCCCTCCTGTTCTGAGCAAATAATTTTAAGCACACAGCTGGTGCACAGCAACTTATTAGAGTGATGCTTGCAATGCAGGTAGAATGGCAACATAGCTCAGAAGTGACCTGCATGTGGTTGTGAGAGCCCATTTACTTGCATTAACTATAGAAGCACCTGGCTAGCAGACTTGGCACACTGCAACAAAAGGCTGCCAATGCTCTCTTCTATCTCTGAAAGCTACCTCTGGCTTGCAAAGAAGGACCAGTGATACAGTTATGGACATACTATACTTTTACTGCACTGAATATTTTTCCACTCAGCTTCTCAGGTTTTGCTTTGAAGACAGACTGGAGCAGATGTGGGCTAGGAAAGGAAGGCATAGAACATGCACTTACCCACAGGGCAAATATGAAACTATCTCAGGAAGAAACTGGGCTATGGGAGGTCATAATGAGAAGGAAGGTCATGGGAAAATAACAATATGGAGCAGAAATAAGGCATTCAAATAACAAAGGATGGACAGAGACGAGCAACAGGGAGCGTGCAGGGACACAAACAGAACCTGAGCAGGAAGCTATGGGTATTTGCAAAATGCTTTAATTCTATCTTTATCAGCAATTATACTAATAATTTACTGACAGTTAGAATAACTGCTTCATTAGTAATTTCATAATCAAATATTAAAGTGATTTTTATACAACTCGTCTTCTTAGAGCTAACTTCAACGGAGTTTCTCCATATTTACACTGGAGTAGCCACGATCAAGAGTCTGATCTCAGTGTGCACGACAGATATGTTTCAAAGAAAAATCTGAGCTCACTGTTGAGTAATGTTGAAAAAGACAGGTGAGGTCTCTCACAGAAAGAACATGGAAGTTACAAAATAGATTTACAGTGCTCTCTCAATCTGGACAAAGATGTACCAATGGCAGTTCCAATCACAAGTAAGTCTCTCTCTTTACTGCAGGGGTGGGCAAAACACAGCCCGCAGGCTGGATCTGGCTTAGCAGGCAGTTTCATCTGACCCACGGGCACCCACCAATTAATTGTACCCTCCCCAGCCTGCATGCTTCACTCCCACCTTCCTGTGTGGGAGGGCCCCGGCCAGCATGCACAGCTTCCCAGCGAGACTACTGCTTCCGCTGCTGCAGCCACCAGGGGACCTGCTTGGTTTCCCTGGCCTCCAGTGGCTCCCCCTGTGTCCCTCCTGCAGCTCTTACTCCAGGCACCAGGTAGGGAGAATTAATTGTACCCTACCCAGCCTGCATGCTTCACTCCCACCTTCCTGTGTGGGAGGGCCCCGGCCAGCATGCACAGCTTCCCAGCGAGACTACTGCTTCCGCTGCTGCAGCCACCAGGGGACCTGCTTGGTTTCCCTGGCCTCCAGTGGCTCCCCCTGTGTCCCTCCTGCAGCTCTTACTCCAGGCACCAGGTAGGGAAGCTGCAGCTGGGAGGAAACATGGAGCATGGGGCTGGTGAGAGCAGAGCCCAGGGCCTGTGCCCAGTGGGGTGACAGGAGCGTGGAGCTCAGGTGAGCAGGGTGTGTGTGTGTGGGGGGGGGTGAGGGAGTGTGCTCTCCCCCAAAAGTTCCCCCCCTGCCGTCAGTGGCAGCAGGAAGTAGACCCTCAGGGAGCTCATGGCCCACGCAGGCGTAGCTGCTTGGCGATGCACAGCTCCACCTACTTCCAGAAGCTGCATGTGGCAGCAAGGAGTGAAGCCAGGCTGGCCCGCCTCTATCACGTGGGGCTCACATGCATCTCTGGGGACTCGCACGCCACAGAGGGGAAGCCCCATGCAATGGAGCCAGCTGCCTTCCCTGCTCCTTGCCACCATGTGCAGCTCATGGGACTCTGCTGGAAAGCAGGGAGTGGGGCTCTCCACCATTTCCACTGGCGTGCCGTGAGCTGCATGTGGCAAGAGGAAGTAGGAAAGGCAACCGGTTTCATCACGTGGGGCTTCCCCCCCCTGGTGTGCAAGTCCCTCGAGTTGTATGTGAGCCCGGTGCAATAGAGGCTGGCCGGCCTGGCTCAGCTCCTTGCTGCCATGTGCAGCTCACAGAACTAGCTGAAGCCATGTGTTGCCAGGTGGCTGCATCTGTACAGGGTATAAGGACCTGGAGAGTCTGCTGCCTGCTGCTGCCACCAGCATCAGGAGCTGTGTGCCATGTGGGGAGTTCCCACACTCCCCACCCTCACACCCCACAAACCCCAAACATACCCATTCCCTGCCCACCCCCGCGACAACCCTCCAACATGTACACACACTGACCCCCAACATAACCTACCCCCTCACACAACCACACCCCCCCACAAACCTCAAACACACACCCACACACACCCTCCCCCCCATACACACCTTCACCTCCCCCAACCACACCCCACACACAATACATAGGAGTAAGACTATTTTTGACCTATTTTGCAATCATCTCTATATAGACTACACAAACGCACATAAATCAGGACAAAATATTTTTAAAAATAGTATTAAAATACATTATACTAGGTATTTCACTTTTAGTATACAATTTGGTTTTTCTCTGGTTCCAAGATGACACCCCCCAACCCCCAAAGGAGTTCTTCCAGGGGCAAGGGGAGGGACTTCTGATGGCAAATATCAGGGGTTAGAGGGCGGGACTTCCGATTACAAAATGGCAACCCCGGGGCAGGGCACCTATCAAGGGGTGGGGTTACCATTCCAGCCCTCGACAGTTCACCAAAACTCATTAAGCAGCTCCCCAACTGAAAAAAGTGCCCACCCCTGCTTTACTGAGACTAACACTTGGCCCAAGGCAAGACATAGCTTTGTGGGACTATTCTGCATTAAAAAGGCTTGCCTTTCATGTTTGGAGTAGGCTTACCATTTTCTCTGCTACTAACCATCATTTCTGAAATCCAGAATGATTTGGTTTGTTATCAAGACCTTGAGCAGTCAGTCAACTAAGGTAATACATTTCCTTGTGGGAATCACTAACTTGTTCTTTAACCTGTCATTTCTCTCTTCCAGCTGCTACCTGCATATTTGGCTCCCACATGGTCTGTGACATCATTGTTTCAAACCTGATTGTTTGGCACAGCAAACTTGAAACCTCTGGCTTGTAAATAAGAGGCAGTTCCAGAGCAATGGTATAAAAAAGCAGCTCATGCACAAAAGGCCCATTAGCAAGAGACATTTGAAAAGTACTTACCTTTATCTCAAACTCATAGTGCTCATCCTTTCCCTGCCCACAAAGGACATAGCGTGGAATACTAATTTTAATTGGGTCCTTCAGGTCCTCTGGATTTGCTCCCAGAGAGCGACAGACCATCCGCTATCAAGTGAATATCAATTAAAGAGAACAAAGGAAAATCAGATCAATACATAAAAAATACCTCAGTTGGCCAGAAATGTGAAAGCACTCTTAGATGCTAAACAAACATAAAGGAAGTAAAGGTTGCTTATGAAAATAAAGAAATAATTCTTTGAGAGCAAAACTGTAATCTTCATGAAAGCAAACCTGTGCATTACTTTTGGACATGCATGAAAATGGAGGTAAAACATCATCAAAATATTATATACTCTTTGAAGCAGGGGTGGGCAAATATTTAGGGGAGAGTGCCACTTACGGACTTTTGGTGAGCTGTTGTGGGCTGGGGCCAGGACTGCAGGGTGGTGACAGTGAGGGGCTGGGGTCCAGAGCAGAGCCACAATACATGCTCCGCATGTCCCTGTGATGGGTGTTGGTTCCACGGGCAGAGGCCGGCCATTGCCCATGGAATCGAAACCTGTCACAGGGAAAAGAGGGAACAGATTGTAGCTCTTCCAGGGGCCCCAACTCTGCAGTGTCCTGTGATCCTGGCCCTGCCCTGCTCCTGGATGCCATTCCCTGACCACCCAGGGCCCAGTCTCATGTCTGGGGGCAGCGGGGTTGACTGTACACACCATGGCTCAGGCTGCACCCTGCACCTGGGCTAGGCAAGGCCAAGGGCCTGAGGAACCTGCTGAGAACCAGACAGAATCACTTGGCAGGACAGATCTGGCCTATGGGCCATATTTTGCCCACCCCTACTATGAAGGCATTTGCAGCTTCAATAGAAAGCATGAAACTGTTTTCAACTTCTCTGAAAATATATCATATATAAATTTATGCATCAGACCTTTACAGCTAAAATTAAAAGATTTCTTTTATTTTAACAGCAGACCTGTTTACAGACATTATGCAGAGCTTGTGGAAATCTAAAACATCAAAAAAATCTGAAAAGATGTTAGATGTTTAAAGTGTTTATAATTTAATAACATACAGATAACACTTTAATGCACTGCCAAAACAGCTTTCTAGCATTTCCTTTAAGCGTCATTTGATTAATAAAAAACTCAAATATGACAAATGTTCATGTTCGGGACAACAAGCTGCTGTAGATTATAGACTTCTATGCAAAGTTGTTTGTAATGAGAATATTTCTTTCACTGCAAGACATATACAATCTGCAATTGTAACCAACATCTTATTTCCAACATTGTGTCAAAAACTAAAACAATGTTGTAGCTGAGTAGCTCCATGTTTTGCAATCTAAAAGTATCCAAAAAAGTGTCATGCTAATTTGTAATGAATACAGATACTTGGTTTATTAAGTTTGTCATTGTCTTAGTTGAAAGTGTTTGGTCTTAAAGGCTTGGTTAACTGTATTTTTATTAAAAAAAATAGCGCTGGGAAAAACAGAGAACTGAAATATAGATTAAAAAACCTAACTTTATTTTTTTTGTCACTTTATACATTTGTATGGAATGAAGTTACAAAAGGACAAATTATATTTACATTCCAGATGATCAATGATCTTCAAAGCCTTACTGACAATTGTATGAGACTAGATGCAACTGTATTGTGTGTACTCTACTCCAGATCAAACCAAAAAACTATCTAGGGATCTAATTTCGGTGAAAATACTAAAAACACAGTAGAAACTGTTGCCGTTTCTCATTAAATATTGAAACCTGACTTTTTTTTGAAGCATGATAAATTTTCATTGAAAAAATCCCCAATATAATTATATCTCTGCATTTATATATAAACTGTTTAAAGACAAAGCTATCTTTTTATTTTAGTAGATGGAATTGGTATTCATGAGAAGTGCCAGATTGACAACCAGGAAAACCTATGTTAAAAAGACAGGTAGGGGCAATATATTGTCAGCTAAGAGCTTTATCCCTGACCAGCACCAACTACATCAAAGGGCAAGCATTGTTCAACCTTCAGCTCAGTGATTTCTTGGTTTTTGCATTGGAATTGCTTATTGGCTACTTGCTTGCTTCGGGTTGACAATGTTATTTATGATGTGCATTTTCCTCTAATAGGAAATGAACAGAGACTATGAACTTTTTTCATTTAGGCCTCTTTTTATATAATCTGTCCATAGATAACTTTGGTTACTACCAGTTTTGTTTAACTAGTGGCCATCTTGAAAGTATCTTTACTAGTCTCAACCCCAATTTTTCTTACTATTACCTTTAAGAAGATAACTGTTCATCAAGTAGATTTTCAACACAAAAGTGAGTTTCAACTAAATGAAAAATATATTTCTATAAAGTATTTGCTTTCGTGAAACCAATAGTTTTTATTTAATAGCCAAAATATATTTTGTGATTTTTGGTTGTCACAAACACAAAAAAACCCCCCAAAACCTAATTTATTTTTTTTTCAATGAAAACTTGAGTTTTACCATCAGAAAAAAGTTCCCCTCTCAACTGATAAGAATTAATATAATTTCTGAGAGGAAGAGCTGTTTATTTCCCTGATCGTGATACTGAAGTTTAATCTAGCAACAAAATACTACCACAAAAGCCACTCTCACAAATTGATTTTATTGTCACTCAGCTTCCTAGAAAAATGTTACTACTAAGATGTTAATAGTTTAGAAAAAAATAGAATAGTTTAGAGAAAAATATAATCTAAAAAATACTGTAAAGTATTGAACAAAAAATGCCCTGAGAGATTTAATAGCATCTTTACAACTGCAAACCTGTATTATTTTAAACATAAAAGTGAAATATAAAGATACTTTAACAAAGAAAAACTTTTTCATAAAACTGTAGGATTTGTAACCTTTACAGACAAAAATACAGAAATTCTGTGATGCATTGGAATTAACAGATGTATATTCAATATTTTTGCATAATCTGAAAACCATTATATGTAGTCATAATCAGTCTTCATTAAGATAGCTCTCACAATTACTATCATATACTCAATACTTTTAACTTCCAATGAGGCTCACTAGAAATATCTTCATAGTCTCAGTAAATTGGTTATAGTGATTATATAATTGAAATGCCACTGTGTTGTATTGAGAAAGCCCAGAAAAATACAATGCACCCCCATCTCCCAGGAAAAAAAACCACCCAAAAACAAACCCTGCCCCCACCATTTTGAGTACTGTAACTTTTCCAATGGCATTTTAAAAAAATATACTGATTTTTGTTCAAACAAGTGAAGAGGGATTTTTCCCCTTGTTGCTTTGGAATTTCTTGGTGAGAGTTAGGGGTTTACTGAAGACTTGCTCAAACTATTTCTACCTTCTTCATCTTAAACCATCCTATTCCATTCTGGCTTTGACATCACCATACAAAGTTGTTTTTTTTAAATTTGAGTTAATAACATTTTTATGCTTTAACAGTTAGGACAAACCGAAGGGATGTATGTTTGTATTAATATAGAGATTACAGGTTAACTTCTATGGCTAGGGACAGACATTACACATAAACCAGTTTAAGTGATCAGAAACTGATTTAAACCTGTAACAGAACAGATGTTCAGTGCACATAAGCCAGATTGAAAATGGTTGAAACCAGCTTGAGATAAACCTGGTTGAATGTAGTATCACACTTACCTGATCTGGTTCAAACTGGTTTATGCAATGTCTGCCCCAGACTCCTTGCTGGCTTAAGATAAACCAGACACCCCCAGTATCCCAGCATGCTTTCTGGGCTGGGTGGGACTCTCTGCTCCACAGCAGGGTTGGCCCCTCCCCTCTGCTCCCTTGCTGCAGCTCCAGAGACTGTGGGCTGCTTCCCCTCCCCACTCCCTGCTAAGCAGGAATTCCCTGCTTCCCTCTGTCTTGCTGAGGAGGTGTCTGTGTATTAGCTAGCAGACCTCATGCTGGCTATGGGCCATACTGAATTAACAGGCAGAATCAACAAGTAGCTGGTAATGTCCCTCTGTTGTTTTCTTAATTGAATGAGAAACATTGTTGTCAATTCCCTACTGGGCTAAACAGAGCCCCTGCTGGAGCCTGGCCACGCCCCCTTCAGCTCCGTGCTGTGGAAGTAAGGTGAGGGGAGGGCTGTTTTAGCACCCCCTGGCTTCTACCCTGAGCCACTGCAGGTATGTGCTTGAATTTCTGGGATGTCCGTCCGGTTACAGAACAGATTTAGCCTAGCCAGGTTAGACTAACCTGAAAAGATTGAATCAATTCAGGCTTTTTGAATGTCTGCCCCTAGCCTATAAGCCAGTGCACCAGAGCTGGCAATATGTTTTTAGACTTCAGAATTTCAGATTAGTTACCTGTTACTTCTGCCAAGGGCAGACAGCATTTTTAACTCAATGGAGTTCATGCTCATATTCCAGGAAATATTACCAATCCAAAGACATACACAGAAAGAAATAAAATTGGGGAAGAAGGTAAAGCTGTTGTATGCTAAGAATATCTGATATCTAGAAGAGATGCAAGGGGAAGATATTAAGAAACAGGACTGCTTATGGATTAGTGAAGTTCTCATGCAACTTTTAAATCATTCTGCTAATGCTTGGTGTGTGATCTTAAAAGGAAGAGGCAAGAAGTAATTTAGAGCCGCAAAACATCAGAAACAGGGTCACGCTGCAAGTGCCCAAAAGATAACAGGATTCTCTGTAGACTTTCAAGCTAGGCATCTGGCACATCTCATGGTGAGCCATCATCAAGGGCCAACTTATTCTGTTCTTGTTTGGAAGGGCTAAGGCAATGCTTCTAATTTCCCAGGTTGCTGACATATTAAATATGCCACATTAAAAATGTGAGGATCATATACAAAAGTCACATTTTATGAAACTGTTTTGTCAGCCTTATATGCTATCATGGTTACTGTAGCACGACCACTACTCAGAGCACAAATTAAAAGCCTGCATCCATTACAAAACTCAAATATATTTGCATCTTACCTTCCTCTGCTTTCAAATCATATTTTCTTCATGTTAACATGCAAAAAAACCCCATGATTTATTACAAGAGGGTAAATTTAACTATTTAGACTAAAAATGATCTGCATATTTCCCCTTCTTAGAAGAGGGAGAGGAGCAGC